CAGCTTTTCCAGCGAAAAGCTGCAGCGCAAGACGGAGCTGGTGACTCCAGGTGGACAAAGCCCCTAACTACTCCTCAGGTTGTAAGAGCTTGATCTGCAAAGGCACTGCACAAATGTGGCTTCGACTGAAGCGTGTGGGAGCACTGGATGTTCAGCACCTCAGAAACTCAGACCCTTCTTTTTCAGTGCTATTTAAAAGGTTAATTACTCACAGCACGTGGGATGAATGTAACCAGAGTGATCACCCCCCTCCCTGGCCAAGGAGGAGATGAGCTGCCCCTACAAAATGCCCCATCCCCAGCTGATCACCACCTACATGACCACTTAACTTTGGCACCTTTTCGAGGACTAAAGCCTGGCCCCTCCGTGTGCGACCATCTCTTTTCCTGGCCTGTGGATGGATGTTATTTCACGCTCTGCTGCTGACAGCTGAGCTGCTGTGAGCCCCTTGGTGCCCGGCAGTTCCCGGCACACAGTGGGCACACAGCTCCCTCGGATGACCAGCTTGGTAGCAAGGGAGCCCTAAACTTTGCCTCTTGTTTTTTCCCTCCTGCTCCCCTCCTCTCTCTTCACCAAGGCAGGATGGAGGAAATGAATGAAACACTGTGGGGAACACTACCAACTCCCCAAAAACTGGGACCAAAGCCAACACCGTGGGTCCCGGGGAGGATGGGCTTGACCCAGCCTCTGGGTCTCATTCCTCTGATGGTGGAGACCTGGGTAGCACCAGCATAGGTTGACACCACAGCGAAGTGGAGGACCCAAACGCTCCCACCTTCCATCAGAAAAGCACTTGAGCGCGTGAACCATCGTGAGCAGGTCTTCTCCTCCCACCGACTTCAACCCTGCCAGACCCGTCCCCTCACCGTCCCCTGCTCGAGGGCACAGACTGCGCCCCAGCCTCCTGCTGCTGAGACTCAGCCTTTCCTTTCTCGCTCTCCCCCTGCCCACCAAACACCACAGCAAGTCTCCACACTCCCCATCCTGAAAACCCAAAGTATGGCACAAGTATCAAAGCAGAATAATGAGCTCACAAAATGTACGAATGAATTAATAAGTGGTGATGGCAGAAAAATGAAGAGCAAAACGTGCTGAAAAACCACTGAAAAATGGCTGGGTTTCATTTTCAGCCATTTCTGGGAATGGATCAAGCTTCGGTTTAAGATTTTTCAATACCCATCTCCATGAAAACGCTCTGCTGCCCAACGCTTCCTACCCTAGTCCGCTCAGCCAAAAGTTAAACACGGTGCATCAGCCAGCCTGCCGGTGTGCTTCTTCCCACCACCACGTAAATCAGGCTCCTCTCCAATATGGTAAATTCAGGGGGCTGCTTGGATATTGGTGCCAGTAAAAGGAAAAAGCGGCCGCATGGGCTATACATGTCTTGAGGTGCAAGGCTGCAAAACATCCTTTGAGATGTAGGGTGGAGTCCTTGGTCAGTGGGTTACACGAGCAGGAGTTCCAAATTTCAGTCATTTTTCAAAGGTCCAGAACACTTGCTGATAGGGCATAACTGATTTTCAGAGACATCTTTGCACCTCTATGTACCTCGCAACATGCTGTACTAGGAATAAAGAGCCTTAAAAGACTGAATGCAGCTGGTTTTACCATGGAAGACATAAACCAGCTTATAACAAAATTCAAGGTGTCACATACACCAGCCTGGTGGAACATATCACTCTTTTACCAGTCATTAATTCAAAGACAGGATCCTGACCGTCAGGAACACCCCATCCATGGGACAGTTACTCCCCAACTCCTCTCCCCAATGTGTTTTCACGGAGGACACACTGCCGGCAGTGAGCACACCGCTACACTCTGCTCCTGCCATCCAGCGTCCCCATTCGGACTCCACGTAGCCATAAAGGGATCCCCAATGCTGGGGAAGCTGCTCTGACGCCAATGGCACACACATGGTCTCTCCATCCTCTGGTCATGGTGACTTAAAAGAAGAACCACGCTGCTCTCAAAGACCAGAGCTTGGTTTTGCCCACATCACCTCCCCAGAGGGTGATGTGAAGAGTGAAAAATTCACACCACAACTCCGGTTTCACCCAGGACAGGGGACACAGCAAGCAACTTGGTGGAACTGCCCCACCAAGGTCCATGTGATAGCCCTTTGGTCTGACCGTCTTTCAAATCCAGTGGCACAGCCCTGTTTTGGGTGACAATCCCTGATCAATAGGCAGACTCTCATTGCCGTTGCCCCACACAGGTTTTTTTTCTCCCTGACACATGGCCATGCTGCCCCAATGCCAACAAAAGACAAGGCACTCGTATTTCAGGACTTGCTACACGCTCGGCAGGAAACCACGACATTTCCCACCAGGTTTACTCCAACGTGAGTATGAGCTGGTCGGTGGATTGGTATTTATGACATATCTGTCACATCAACATATGTCATGTGTTTTTTGATGTGAATCGATAGATGCTGCTATCACAGACAAGCACATCAAGCCGAAGCTCACGGCAAAACTCCTGTTAAGTCTGGAGAGCAAAGCCAAAGTGCGCCAAGGTGCTCCGCTCCATTTGCCCAGCTGCAGCCCCATGGGACCCCCATCCCCAGGGCATCCTAAGTAATGCTCCAGCCTCTCTCATCTCTTCCCTGCAAGAAGCAGCGCTGCAAACAGCAGTGCATGTGTCTGCTGTTACATGGGGGCCAGCACAGGTGACTCTCTCTAAACACACACTTTTGGGTTTGTGGGATAAGGGCTTAAAACTGCCAACGGTAAAAGGAGCTGCTTGTTTTGCAACGGGAGTGTGACCGATAAATCACTGCAGACCTACTCAATTTTCTCCAGTAGCGAGAGCTGTGTAATCAAGACGTGAGTTAAAATCCATATGGTGCAAATACACACAGAAGTCACTGGCGCTCAGACTTCAGCAGAAGGCTCAAGGCTTGGGGGTTTGCTTTGAATCGGAAGCGATGCCTTTCCAGTCTTTTCCTTACGGGTACGCCAAGCATCAGCAAACAGCCAAAGAGGACGTGGCTCCGTCTGCCAGTGCTGACCAGAAAGTAAGGCCACTGGGATCAATGCAGCTATGCCAGGACGAAGCTGCTGTCAGCCTGAAGCAAGCCCTTTTCCATATGAACATCCTTACCCCTGCCAGAGGATACTCATTTCACTTCTGCCACTGGATTTGAAGTATGAAGTAAAAAAAATAAAGGGGGGGTGGGGGTGTTAGATGATCCCCTTATTTTAAGAGAATTAAAAAACAATTATTCCTTAAAAAAAAAGGGAAAATGATAAAATCTGTGTTTCTCAGGAATTATTTCTAGGCCAGAAGCACCCTGGTCATCAGGCAGCTAAACAGAGCATAAAGCCATAAAGCCATTTTGCTTCTGACTGTCCCTGCTATGGGACTCCACCGGACAGCGGGGTTCAGGACACAGTGCAGGCAGTGGCTTAAGCACAGGCTTTAGTCTTATAGACGTCAAGGAGCCCAAGGCAAGGTACAGGCACCAGTCCTGTCCCGATCGTGTGTGCTTCCCCGAATCGCAGCCCCAGTGCTTCCAAGTCAAATGGGATCGCTCTGTGAGTTTCCCTGCTCCTGCGCAATTATGTTCCCATGTAAGAGGGGAGGGAGCCAGTTAAGCGTAGATACGTAGTCCTTTTCAAATGCTTAATATTTCTAGCTTCACTGTAATTATAGCCTGAAGATAAAAATGGTGCTGAAGGTCAAACAAATCCTTCAGGAGAATATACTCTGCACGGAAACTGTTTTTTTACCTGGAAAGGTTGTATAAATACTGCAGATTCAGAACCTATAATTATCCATTAAAATTGCTCTGAGTCTACTGAATTCACGTGTGTCCATGTTCAACTTCTAGTCTCCTATTTATAATGTTTACATATGCCCAAAAATGAGCTCAGGCAAGAGGCAACTGATCAGAAACACATTTTTTCTGGACCGTTTCTGTGGCATTAGAGGGTGATGCTCTGCAGAGGACCAGCTCTGGGGCTGGGGCACTGGGCTGGGCTGTGCTACCGCCGTCCTGCAGCCAATTCCCTGCTTACCTGCCTCCGAAGGCAGGATTTGCTCCTCCGTGCCCTTTGCAGACGCATCCCCACGTTGCTCCCCAACACGGCAGGGCTGCAGCATCTCAGCCGTGGGAATCCTCCCCGTCCAGGAAAGGCTTTCGCACCCCACTGGGAGCTCAGCACCTCCATTTGCAACTGCTCCGACGACTGTATCCCGAGCCTAGTCCCACTGTTTGGGTGCAATCTCTGAATCTGCGCAGGGGCAGAGAGGCAGCCCTCGCCGCCAGCACATGGGGATGCGAGTCCACCCTCGTAAGGGAGGACTAGTGGCTTTTGCTCTGGAAATACTCCTCCGGGAGCAGTGAGCAATGTGACTGCCGAGTGCTGCAGCCGATACACTTGCCCAGGGTGGCAGCAGCACAGTTACCCACCAAGAGCCCCAGCCCGACTCCGCTCCAGCCTTGCCCTGCTCATACGCATCCCCCCAGAGCAGACCCAGGCAGGGAGCTGCCCTCCCCTGTCCCCTTTAGAGATCTTTCTCCGGGGCAAGGGGAAAGAGGGTCCAACGCCATCCTTTGCCCTCCTGTTGTCCTCTGGAGGTTGTTTGCCCAGTAAAGGAACAGATAATCTCTTAAAAGAGGGGCTGGCATGGGTATGAATACAAAGGGCCACACCGCCAGCAAGGGGCTGTGCTGGGCTCACCCCAGGGGGCTAAAGTTTGCTCTCCCACGCTGGGTGGGCATGGCAAGGGCGGCCGAGGGGCTCCTCGATGTATGTATACCCTCTCTCTCTCTGCCAAAAACCAAACATGCCTGTTTAGGGAGAGGCACCTGCAGCCGGGAGAGCCAGGACTGCTTCCTGCATGGGCAAAACCACAGACAGCACTGCTGCCAGCAGCAGCCTCTGTGCTCTCCCCAAATCCTCCACACCCTCGTTTATTGTAGCGATCCAGGCTAGGAAACTGCAGCGACTGAGCCACAGCTTTTCTTGCCAGGGCTAGCGAAGCCATCATGGGGTTCAGGGCAGAGCCCCAGCAGCGCACAGCACCCCAGCACTGGGGTCAGGGTAAAGCATCGCGAGACCCAACCCGTCGCCCTGCTCTCTGTCGGTCACCTCCAGACCTGAGGTGGGTGACGTCTGTCGTCTGTCTGTCCGTTCCTGGCAGCTGTAGCTGAACAAGAGTCACGAGAACTGGGGGTCACTGGTGTCAGCACCCCCTCGGACACAGTCCTGCAAGAGCAGGTCTCAGGCCACCCGCTCAGATGAGTCTCACAAGAGCCACCAGCCAGCGGGGGCTGCCAGGAGCTATATATATATCTTGCCTGGATTTGAACTGCCCACGAACCTCCACCGCAACTATTTGGAAGAAGGGGAGGGGGTAAAAGAAATGAAAACATTAAAAAAATTGTCTCAGCAGTGAGAAAAACTATCAAGCAACTAACAGCGATTGAAAAATGAGGTACTTCGAAAGCTTGGTAACTTTATAAATGACGCGGTGTTTCCAGAGCAAGCTGCTCCAGCGCTGCTTGTGCCAACCTCCTTCCCTCAACCGCCTGCTCCCGCTTTTATCTGTGCTAAAGCTGAAGGTCAGAGGAAAGCTGTGAGCACTCCTTCCGACCCCTCCTCACCCACTTGCTGCACCTTGCCCCCGCAAATGCCAACAGTGAGAAAACCCACCGGCATGGACCTGCTCCTTCCTCTCCCCCACTAACCTCCATCTTAGAACCCCCCCCCGGGTAAGGGTACATCGCACTTAATACATATTTACATTCACGCTGAGATAGGGAGCTGGATTTTCCTCGCAGATATGCAGATGTAAAGCCAGAGGAGCTCCACAGGTGTCAAGGGGGTTACACGAGACTTACGGGTACCGTCTTCACCCCCCTGAGCTGCCGCCGGCTGCAGCCCGAGGATGCAGAGCAGACCTCAGCAAGGCGAGGATGGAGGGAAGCTGAGGGGGGGGGTAGCCCAGCGAATATATCACTGTTATTGACGTGCACGGTTTACTCCCTGCTGATGTACTATTTTCTTGGGGGGAGGGGGCTGTTGGACCCTCACTGAGGCTTTCCTGACCTTTGAAATCATTTGGACCTCAGTAGAGCTCTTTGAGGTGACCCCCTCTCTGCCCTGGCTTGGCTCAGATACCCCTATGAAAACACTCCTGCAATGGAAGACGACTGGCTTCATACAGAAAAAAAAAAAGTTTTCCAGCAAGGGTTTATTGCCCAAAAGCAAACTACCGTTGCTAATGAGCACTGACGTTTACACACCAACACCCTGACTGCCAGTGATAAACAAACCATCAAAAGCAAAATCTGTGCAAATACATCTCTGGTCTAAGCCAACCCAGCCATGAAGCCAAAGTTTGGTACCAAATGCCACCGAGGTGCAGCAGAGATGCTTCCCAGCGTCCAAAACACACCTTGGCATGGATGCAAGGCTGCTCTGATTTAAAGGCATAATTTATACTCAGCTCCTGAGTTACTAAACTCCTGTAGCCCTTTCAGCATGGGTGAAAGTGCCCCACTTTATGTAGCAGTCTCCGAGGGTGGCATTCAGCTGTTTGCATGGGAAATGTCTGTTCCCGGCGGATCTGGGCTCCCTTAACGGTGGGGAAAGGCAGGCGCTGTGGGGCTGGAGCTCACTGGGAAATTGGTGCCAAAGGAAGGTACAGTGGAGCTTAGCGCTTTTATAGAGATTATTTTGAAAAAGAAGAACCCGAGCGAAATGGCTCTTCCCCGGGGAACTTGGGACCTTTGCTTCTCTCCAGACACACTGGGGACGGCTGTGTGACTCACAGGCTCAACATCGGGTGCCCAGTGTGCCTTGGAAATGGGGTTTTGTGCGGGAAAGGGAGGGGACCCACCGGCTGGTACCGTACCTCCTGCAGGACATCGGCAAAGGGTGGCAGTGCCCGTGCCAGCGCTTCAGACCATGCAGAGCCATGACATCCCCAGCTAACACCTCGCAGGGCTGTTCCCATCTCCATCGAGAGCACGAGCTCTACTTCAGACCTGACTCTCGCTTTAGCCTCCAGTTATGGGGACCATCTTTCCTGTCCCCAACGGCAGACTCACAAATCTCTCTGCACTGCAAACGGGCCTGGACCAAATGATTTCAACCTCCCATGGCCACGGGTTCTCCACCCCCCGCCTTCTCCCAAGGATCCCTCGTTTTCCCCCCAGCAAACGCAGGGCAGCGATTTGAAGGCAGACAGAAAAACTCCTTTAACTCAAAGAAAAGAGCATTCCCACCTCCCCTCCGTCCCACCGCCGCAGCCCGAGGGAGATGCTGGCCCGACCCCTCCGCGCTGCAGCCACCAGTCCGTCCCCCCCTCAGGTCGCCTCCCCCACCGAGACAATTTTGGCCAGACATTTTCCAAAACCTTTGGGAAAGAAGATGTCAGCTCGGCTTGGGCAAACCAAGCAGATCAGGCAGAGCCCGGAGGCTGAGCCAGCATCCCCTGGGGGCTCTGCCGGGCTGTGTGCCCCCCTTCCCCAGGGGGGAGCAGGCAAGGCACGGAGTAAACGGAGTAAACAGCTCCGAGCGGGGAGCGCAGCCTCC